TCTGCCTCATCTTCTCATTCACTTCCTTTGCTTCAGCCACAGGGCTTTCTTGCATGTCCTCATAGGCACCATGTGCCCTGTCACCACAGCGCCTTTGCACAGATTCGACTCTGGATTGCTCTCATCTCCCCTGACCCCAACTTTACCTAGGATGCCCTACATCCATCAGATCTTAGCTCAAGTATCAATTCATCAGAGAAGTCTTTCTTCACCCTCAAATCTAGGCCAGACCCCCTGGTTATTTTATTTCTTTCATCTGGAGCATTTATTTCCATTTAAAATTATAGTGTCGTTTTGATTGTGTCAATCACCAATGACTATAAGCTTGATGAGATCAAGGACTTTGTATTTTGCTCAATACTGAAACTCTAGTGTCTGACACAGTAGCTGCCTCACAGTGGGTACTCAATATTTGCTAAAGATTGGACTTGGCAGTTCCACTAATTGAGGGATGATGTATAATGTCATCCATGTCAGCACTATTTGTAATAGTGATGTGTTGGAAGCAATCTAACCACCCCTTGACAGGGGACTCAGTTAGCTATATCATGATACATCCATATAATGGAATACTAGGTAGACATTTAAGGCATATCAATATTTTTTAAAACTTCATATGCAATGATACAGAAAGATCTTCCAGATGTCCTTGTGAACAAAGCAAGGTATGGCAAAGTGTGCATAGTGTTTCCATTTGTGTCAAAGAAGATGACAAATAATACACGTTTGGATTATTGCTGGATAAAAACACTCACTAATTGTTCCCATAAGAAACTAACAGTAGCTAGTAGTTTGGAGGGTGGGTGGGAGTTGGGTAAATGGGTGTCAGAGGTGGAAACGAAATGCTACTGGCTACCATTTTATACTTTTAGATTTGGGATGTGAGTGCGTTATCTGTTTGTACAGTCATGTGGTGCTTAAAGACGAGGATACATGCTGAGAAATTCATCATTAGGTGATTTCGTTGTGCGAACATCATAGAAGGCACTTACACAAACCTGGATGGTACAGCCCACTACACTCCTAGGCTCTATGGCACAGCCTATTGCTCTTAGGCTACAAACCTGTCCAGCAGGTCACTGTACTGGATACTGCAGGCAATTGTAACATGGTGGTAAGTATTTGTGCATCTAAACATATCAAAACATAGAAAAGGTACAGTAAAAATATGGTATTATAATCTTAAGGGAACACCATTGTATGTATGGTCCATTGCTGACCAAAATGTCATTATGCAGCATGTGACCATAATTCAATAAACATACATTATTTAAAAGTGCTCCCTGCACAGAACCTGTTAAATGCTGGTGAATGAATAAAAGCACACGTGATGGCTCCCCCCTCATCCGGTCCCATCTCCAGCACCTGTCCCCATCACTATTGCTGCCACCACTCTGCCACGGGATGTTTGGGGACTCCCCTGGGGAGTAGCAGCAAGCTTTTTAAAACTGTAAAGATACGTTTTTTGTTTTTTTTTTTAAAAGATGACCGGTAAGGGGATCGTTGTGAGCTAACCAACCATCCCTATATAGGATCCAAACCTGTGGCCTTGGTGTTATCAGCACCACACTCTCCTGAGTGAGCCACAGGCCGGCCCCTTAAAAATATGTAGTTTTTAAAGTAATACTTTAAAATGATCAATTTTCAGTAATAAACCCTCCATCACTCTTTACAGTTTACAAAATGCTTTCAAATGTATGCCCTAATTAGGTCCTTCCAAAATCTTAGACAGTTTATATATAATTAGCCCCATTTTATAGATAAGAAAACTGATGTGAGAAATTAAGGTACCTGCCCAAGTTTGTTTTTCTGGAAATGGCAGAGCCAATCTAGATTTTCCAATTGAAAACATGTTTATATTCCTTCTTAGGCAGCTTAGAGAAGGACAATTCCCCCACCATCCTTCCCAGCTCCAAATAAGGAAAAAAGAAAGTGCCGGCCGCAAGACCTTCACAGATTTTACTTCAATCCCATGACGTTTTATGACAGACTGATCAGTACAGGTCAGTCCGGGTCTTGGTCCTAGGGGACAGTACTGGCAGAGAGGGAAAAATGTCCAACTTTTGTTTTGACTGTTACACTCACCCAGCAGAAGAGAAAAGGGGAAGTAAAAATGTCCTTGGCTGAGGTGGAGATAATCCTGCCAGTAAATCTGGTGAATGCCCCAACATGACAAAGGACATTCGCCTAAGTCTCATTAATACCATGATACTGAACCAGAGGGGGCTGAACACTTAGGAACACTGCTGACTTCTTAGCAGCTTTTGAAAGCAAGATCATGTTTCTTTTTTACTAAGGTGTGGGTGAGATATCTGAAGATGGAGAAGCACTGGAGAGGAACCAGAGAATGGGAGGATTTTGCTCCTGAGGACCGAGCTGAATGTCATCCTGATGTGCATCACAAAGGTTTCCCTACATAAGATTTTCCTCCTGTTCCATCTCAACCTCCAGATCGACTCTAGAGTCCCAGATTCATGCGATTCTCCCAGAGAGAGAAAGTGAGAACTATCAGCAAAGAGAATGTACTGTGCCCTCCATAACTAGAGTCTGGAGCCACTGTCCAAGGTGAATGAAAGCTTAGCAAGCAACAGCGTCAACACTGGAAAGCACAAGAGAGCACTAACGTGCCTGCAGAATTGTAACCTAAGACACAGCACATACTACAAGAGAGGCATTTGTGCAAAGTCTGGGGCCATGCATAACTGCTTTCAGAACATGCAAAGTACTAGTGTGTTCTGATTGACAAAAATCTCCTAACACCTATTCCTACTGGACTAAAAAAATGACCTGAACAACTCTTCTGATCCCTCCTAAGGTTAAGGAAAAATATAGACTGCTTTAGACATCATGTGATAACATGATATATTTATCCTGCGTAGGACAGATAATTTGATGCTTACCTTCCCACAGAAATAGACATACAAGTTTTAGCTTTGTTTTGAAGAAGGGAGCAAGTAATTTTCAATAATTCTTCATCTAACTCTGAGATTGCCAATTCACAACTGCTTTAATCACTCCAGGGTACATAAAAGTATCTCAAGGAGCATCACAGAATTCTTAAAAGTAAATGTAATTTTAGTTTCAAATTAAATTTTAAAGTAATGAGCTCATTTCATTTAACTCTGATGTGGTCTCTTTCAAAGTGGGCATGAAATAAAGATGGTAGGAGCAAAGTCTGGAGAAGTGCAGGGTCCTCAGATGGATCTCCTAAATTCGGCTACGCAGCAGCTCAGCAATCTGGAACAAGCCTTTTCCTCCCCTCAACTCTTGACTCTTCCTCCAAGCATGCAGCACTCCCACACTGTGTTATCTAAGAGGCTAGGATGATTAAAGGGAGAGGGAAAAGGAATTCTCCCCAAGATCAACATCTGATCAACAGAAATAGATCTGCCTTCACACTGAACAATTCTCCACGGTCCTATTTTTCTATTTTTTCAAATGATGGAAAATCTAATTCCACGGAAATGTTAATAGCTTCATTATGTGACCATAGGGCTAACAAGTTCTGTAGCTAAAGAGTTTTGAGGCTAAGCTACTCAAGTATTTTTGGAATAATATCTGATCTCTTGACATAAATCAGTTGTTATCAAGGGTCTAGTCCTATAAGCAAAGCTCCCACCAAAAAAAAAAAAAAAAAGAAGAACCAAAGGGCCAAGCCTAAAAAGAGTCCATTTGGAATATACCAGGTGTGACTCAGGTGTGGGATACACAGGCTTAGACTTGGTGGGTCCAATTCAATATGGCATGAGCAAAAATAAAGACTAAAAAGGGAGAAAAACAGGTGCTTAGAACCATGTTGGGAGCAAAATATAGGACACGCATTCAGAAAATTCTGGTGAACCATGGAGGAGAGGTTAGAAGAGCCTAGATCGCTGTCAATAGGGTGGAGCTAGGGAACCTCTTGAGACTGTGAAAGAAGAATAAATAATTTCCCTTAGCTGGGCATATCTGCCCATAGCACAAACAGCTTCTATGCAAGAACAAGAAGAAGGCCTCCAGGGCCCAGGGAGCCCTAGGCAGAAAATAAGGAGGTTTGGGAGAATAAGGCAGCTACCCCAGGCCAACCCACCAGACAAGAGAAAGACACTTCCCTCAAACCCTTCACACGTGGGAGGGAAGAAGGGAGCTGTCTAACGTGCAAATTGGTTCATTATCCCATAAAAAGGTCCTTATTCCATGTGATTCCCACATCAGAACTCTCTCCAGCAGTCTGACACTGCCCTAAAAATATCTCAATGGGAGACTGGGAGTGAGGGGTCACCGCCTTACAGGCTTGGACTGACATGGCCCCACCCACTACCACCCCAGCTCAGTTGTGGCAATGCCATTGCTTTGGAAAAGTGACAATCCTCAGAATTCCCCACAACTCTACCACTTGGCCTAGATTGGAAGATCCTTTTATATTGTCATACCCCAAACGATCTTGACCCTTACATCCTACAACCACCTTGGCTATCCTATAGGTCTTAACAACTGTCCTTAAGAATCCCAGAAAGTGTTAGCTATGATAGTTATTTTATTTCATTTCCTTGAGGACTTTTTCTTTCCTCTAAGACAACTCCTTAGAGCCCTGGGCTGTCCATAACAATAACAATAACAATAGTCACAATGGCTTCCATGTACTGAATGATAACTCTTTCAAGCACTATGCTAAGGATTCATACATTTACATTTTTTATATATTTAAGTCACATTGCATCAGCCCTGTGAGATAGATGCTACTATTGCTCCCATTTTTTAGATGAGGAAACTGAGGCACAGCATGCCAACCTTCATCCCATCCTATTCCCATACTTTGCAAAGAACCCCTTATCCAATGGTAAAGCCTCAGGAATCCAAAGTTTATGAGCAGTGCTTTCTAACAACTGGCGGGACAGGGAGTATAATACTCTTTGGTCTGGGCTTTTGGAAGAGTATTCCTGACTCCTTTGGCCACAAAATTCGTACAAGGTGTAGTCTTCTATCATTTTTCTATGGCACAGGGTCCAGCCAATTCTTACCCTATTGTCTTCCTGGATCTCCCAGTCACTGGAGAAAGTCACCAGCTGCTGCCCTTGGGAACAGTTCGAAAACTGGAAAAGGCTGGAAAACATCCTTCTGTTCTCTTGAGTGTCTGGAAATATGGCATCTTGGAAATTGACTCCATGAGGCAAGAGGTTATAATTTTCATCCATCCTAATGGGGAAGGAAAAAAAAAAGCAGAGATGTAGACTGGACAGCCATGGGTGTACCAGCTTCCAGCAACTGTGCTGGTCTCACCAACTTCACAACGTCTCGCATGTCTCTCACAGAGGAGTTCCTACGGTCACTCCTTAACATTGTTTCTCTGCCTCACACTACCTGAGTCTATCCTTAAGGTCTTCAAAAAGATAAGTTTGAGGAAAGTGTGTGTACACAAGCCTGTTTGTCTATTAGTGTATCTTCCAAGTCCCCCACGGGGTCTTCCTTCTCATAGACAGACTGCTCCTTGTCGCCTGGTGAAAGGTAGGCAGTTGTAATGACCTGAGTTCCAGTCCTACTGCTGCCACTTATGTACGACATGAAACAAATTTCTTAACTTCTCTAAACCTCAGTATTGTAATTTGTAAAAAGGATTATGGTAGTACCTACTTTCTTGGTGGTGTCATAAGGATTGAATTAGAAAATGTTCATAAGTAAAGCACTTGGCACATGTGAGTGCAGTATAAATATTAGCGAGCATTTTTATAGAGCCTAGTGTAAATCACTTGTGAAAGATAAAGGAGTCACGAAAAGGAGAAATGGAAGTTACACTCCAGCCCGAAGAGGGCACGCAAGGCTCGCCAGCGTGTCTCCACTGCCACTTTCCCTCAGTGACACTGACCAGAGTCTGTTCTTGTCTCAGTGGCTCCCAGAATAACAAAGGAGGAGTGATTTATATGCAATAGTTAATACACTTCAGGGCAAGACAGCCCTGTGAAAAGAAAATCTGCCAGACTACTGTTTGACTTCGTATTTCTGCCCTAACTTTTTGTAACTATGTTAGAGCAAAAGATGAAACAGCTGGCTGACTACCACAGAATCACTGGACAAAACTGTACTCATGATAAAAATAAAAAACAACAATAATAATGTCTGCTCAAGTACTTGGGCTCTTTTCTCTTTAGAAAACAAAGTTTTGTTATGGAATAGTTTTATAGCTGGTTCTCAGTATTTTTCCTAAATAAAAACATGATGAATCCGAGTTAAGTTTCTCTGTATCAAGAAGTGCACTCTCAGTCCTTGCTGACTTTATTTAGAAACTACACTTCTCTGGCAATAAAAAACAAAACAAAAATGCTAATTTAACTTCGTCTAGCTAGGCCACTCAAGCCAACACAAAGCAGAACATGTATTCTAAACTTAGAAATTCTGGCTTCAATGTGGAAAACATGTGTTGCCATGAGCTTACGAATGCCCCTCTGTGGGACTCACTGTTTTCTTTCTCCGAGTGAAGTGAGCTAAAAGTGAATCTGCAGACCCAGTGAGAGTCATTGCAAATGTCCTCAGTGCTATTTCACGGACTGGGAAGACTGGAACTATTACCCATCATGATAACTTTGGGTTAATTCACTCGCTATCTTCATACATAGCTTAGATTCCATTTTGCTCTTTCTCAGTTGTCTGCATGACTCCCCTAATCCAGTGGGAGACGACCAATGAATTCAGGCCACCTGATGTCCTCGATTTCAAATTTCAGTAGAATTCAGTAGTCAATAATAATTGACTGAACACTTATGCAGATGAAATCCATCTTGACCACGGACCAACTATCATGGAACTTAACAAGACTCCAGTGGTCAAAAATCAGAGGACCTCCTGCCACTATAAATCACCTCCTGATTTGCCACTACACTCTTCAAAACAGTGTGACCCAGGGTCTTACCCCCAGCAAGTCCCCCCATAAACCTCTGCTATTTTGAACAACCTGGCAGCTGATAGGAGAGTGAAAGGAGGACAGCCGCGATGCGTTCCATACCATTCCATCTTGGCATTTACGTGGGTGGAGAGAGGAGTGGGTGTTTAAGCGTCCACTCTGCACCAGGTGCTTTGCATGAGTTACTGTGTTGCACTCTCAACCAGCCTTGCTTCTCACTTGATGCAGGTGAGGATACTGGAAAGCTAAGTAACCTGCTGAAATCACACTTAGGAAGGGCAGAGCCAGAATTCCAACGACAGACTGATCAGAGATGATTTTTCTCACTATCCCAAGCTGCTCGCACTGAAGCCAGTTTCTTTTTTTAAAGTCAAACAGATTGTTGGAAAGCATTTTGAGCTTTTGCCTGAAACACTCCTCTGTGTACACGGCACAGAAATCATCCCTGTTTGTTAAACAGCTTTAAGCCAGGGGTAGCCAGGGATAGACCCTGGGGTCTTTCCAGAGTCGTGGGACGGAGCAGGGGAGAATAAAGAGTAAGGGGAGGAAGGAGCCTAAGGCATGTTCCCATTTGGCACGGACGGGATGCCCTGGGGAGCTCCTGCCCCGACTCCAGGCTACCTGGAGGGAGTCGCGCCAGGAGGCGGCGGAGGCGCCGGGCTCACCTGAGGAAGAAGAAATAGGAGTAGTCCTGGACCACGGTGTGGGAGTGGCACGAGAAGTAGCCCAGGCCGGTGAGGTTGAGCCTGGAGCCGGCGGGCACCTCCAGCATGCTGCCCCACGCCTGGTCGCACAGCATCTCGACCTCGGCCGAGTAGAGGAGGCCGCCCTGGCCGGCCTCGTACTGCCAGGGCAGGTAGTTGTAGAGGCCGGGCGCCTCCGGGTGCAGCGCCAGCACCCGGGCGTACAC